AACAGCAGACCAGCTCTGATATGTCATCCGATAATATCTTTTATTTTCGGAAGATTACTATAAGATATTTCCTTTTGGAAGGAATTTATCTTATTTCAGTTATTTAATCCCATATAAAAGGCAAACATATCATATGCCTTATTTATAGTTGGTTGAGATAATTATGGTAAAAGATAATTACCAAATTTTTGATTTCAATTTAAAAATATCCTTTACAGTTGCTTTTTATTGGCTCAACTAACTCTTTTCTTTCCTTCTTCTCTCTTTGTGCTTCATTGTTAAAAATATACACTAACCCTTTGTGCAGATCATCAATCATCATCACTCGAAATTCTCTTTCTCTCTCTCGTATGCTTTAAATTCATCATTGTTCATTCGGTTACTGTTCACTCAAGGAACCAGCTCAGTCTCAGGGGGAACATCAGAAGGAAGCATAAATGTCCTTAAGCCCGAAGTTGGAGGAAATTCAGAAAAGTCAGAGTGAAAAGGATGAAATAGAGGTTGTTGGTTATTATGAGGAGACACCCACTGCTAAGACCATGGTACGAAGTAGAGTAACTCAATTAAAGAAGTTCACTGAGAAGGTGCAGGAGGAACAGTCCATTGACGCTGTTCCAGGAACCAAGAGAAAAAGGGTACCAGCAAGAACCTCTTTGCTTGATTGATGTGATGCTAGTTTTGCACTCGTTATGCAACAAGGAGAACAGTTTTGCACTCGTTATGCAACAAGGAGAACATTCTGAATCAGTACATATCTCTCATGCTTTCTTTAAAAAAAAAAAAAAAAAAAAAAAATAAAAAAAAAATAAAAAAATAAAAAAAAAAAAAAATAAAAAAATAAAAAAATAAAAAAAAAATAGAGGAACCAGCAGGTCAGGAAGTGGTTTTGAAACAGATTGGGGAATCACAAGAATATGCTTAGTAATATAATGATTTTGGTTTAAGCAGAGCATGGTGACAAGGATGAAGAGGAATCAGATGATAATACAGAAGATGTTGCAAAGTTCGAGGAGGAGGAAGGGAACGAGAATGATGATGAGGAGTGATGCTGCTTCTGTTCTTGTTTTCCTCATCCTCATGTTTATTCTTAAATAACTGATTTTGTTGGTCTGTCTACTTCTCTCCATTCCATGAACTTTCTTTTTGGATGGATTTGGGCTTCTTTGGTTGAACTTTGTTGGCTTGTATGAACTACTAACTCTGCTATGGTATGAACTGTTTGACTAATCTCTTTTTGCAGCATAATGCTTGAATGGTGGTTGATGCCATTGTATGGATAAGCACATTAACTTGTGCACATTGCTTTTACTTGTGGATACTTTTTAATGATGCCAAAAGGGGGAAGTAGTCTGAAGTTGAAGCCTAAGGTTTAGCTAGTTTAGATTGAGTCAGTTTGAGTCTTTTTATTTCGTATTTTCTAATTTCGTATTTTCTATTTTCTGTTTAGGGAACCAGTTGGCCTAACTGACTTGTTCCAAAGAGTCTTGAGTCCTTGAAGTTTTTGACGGTTTTCCTTTTGAGCATGTTCACAGGTTCAGGAACTTCAAGAGTTTGTCATCATCAAAAAGGGGGAATTTGTTGAGTCCCTTAGGTTTTGATTGATAGTTTTGAATGATGACAAACAGCTAAGGGAAACAGGTCCTTGAAAGTGTTCGATACAGTTGGGGGAACCAGCTAACATAGAACACTGTTTCCCCAGACAAGTTATTACTTACATGAGTTTTCTTATTGAACTAACTTGTCTTTATACAGGGAACAGTTATATGATAAAAGTGTTATGTACTGGTAGGGAACCAGTATGTACTGTTTCCATGGTTGCTACGTGGTAAAGCAGTCACATACTCTTTATTGTGCATTAACCATGTTACATGTGCAGTAGTTGAGTTGATTCCAAGACTTGGAGCATAGAAGCCTTTCGAAGATATTTCGAAGAAAGATTGTTTGCTCATAATAGAAGTATTCAAGGAAGATTCAAGTCTTGAAGATTACATGAAGAAAAGACGATTTATGCTTTAATATGTTATCTAGGTTTTCATGTAATATGCTCCGTAGTATGCTTGCATGTTTGGGTTATATAAGTGCTTAAAAGTATATTGAAGTATGATATGAAATCTGGTACAAAGTTGGAACAGGTTTCATAACATCTTTCAATTCAGGGAACCAGGTCGGGGAACCAGGTTCACTGTATTCGAGCTGCCGTTTTGGAAAAAGATTTTACAAAAAGATTTTTTTTCGAAAAGATTATTTTGAAAATATTTTGTGCAGCAGGAAATAAGATGAAATATTCTTGGTTACCTAAAAACTAGGAGTATTTATCTTAATTGATTCTATCTTTGTGATTAAATCAAATAAGATAAAAACTTTCCTAAAATTACATTATATCTTATTCTCTAAGATTGTGTGATTTAAGGAAACTAGGTTTTAGGAATCTAAGCTTATATAAACTCATCTTATTTCACATATTTCGTGTGCCTCTCCAGAAATCAAAAGAGCAATTATTTGAGAGCATATACTTAAGCACTAATCCCATTCATCAAGTCATATACAAGAGCATTCTAGTACTTAAATATTTTCTCTTAATTAGCTTCGTAGAAGTGAGATCAAAGGGGAGTTCTTGATTCTTGTATTGAGTCTTTAACAAAGGGGTTAAAGGCTGGGTGAGTGTTTGTGAGTTCAAACACATTGGGCTTACGAGTGTAAGTCGAGAGCACACTCGGAGTAGAGTGTGGGGTTTGCTGGTTCCCGGAGTAGGGAACAGCAGAGTGTTCTTTGTCTTTGTTTTTCGGAGTAGATTAATAAAGAACTTAGGATAGGAGGACGTAGGCCTGAGTTGGCTGAACCTCATTAAATTTGTTGTGTTCTTTATTGCTTTGTTTTATTTCGTTAAATTTGTTGTCTTCTTTATTGCTTATTTATATTCCGCTGCGTACGGGAACCAGCACAACTGGTTCCTCACACATAATCCGAAAAGAAGCAAAATTAGCCAACGATTACTTAACACTCAATTCACCCCCCCCTCTTGAGTGCCCATTGAACCTTCATATTTGAACTTATTAGTGAAGTGAAAATGAGGTAGGTAATAATGTCGAATTTTTTATGAACCTTCTCAAGAAATTTATCAGCATTTTATGATTATTACATACTGTCATACGAGAAAAGACTGGTTAATATGCCATATTAATCAGTCTCGTTTATATGAGGGTGCACCGGTCATTTCCACCTTTTAAGTAAGGGCAAATTTGTAAACATGCGGGAGGACCGTTAACTTCCAAAATGCCGGCGTTAACCTCCTCCTTTTTTTACAGTCCCGTTCCGTAACTATTTTCCGTTGCTGAACCAAATGTTGTTCCATTCTCCTGAATGGTCTGACTCTCCTCCAAAAGATACTGCAGGTGCGAGAGGAAAGAGACGGTGTTTTCTACAACGGGGTTCAATTGAGTTTGTGAGTACGAAATAACAGACCAAACGGAATTAAAAAGAATTGTTAACTTTAGTTGCTAACGTCAAGTTATCTGCCACCTTAGCAGCAAACTAAAATAACAATAAAATAATAGCAGCAACCTCTCAAAATTGTAATATTGCCACTATATTAACATATTTCATTAATATGAAATATTAACTGGGCACCGCTCCTGTCATACTGATAATCAGAAATATTAATTGTTAAACTTTTTTTAAGAGCTTATTAATTGTTAAACTTATGCATCGTTAAACGTAATGAAAAAAGTATGTATCAACTACAAAAGAATGGAAAAAGTAAGATTTATAAAGTACAAAGAATTAGTAAGATTGATAATATTATATTTTTTGGTTGTTGTCATTAGTACGTCCAATAATGGCCTAATCTTATTTTTTGGTTGTTATTCCAAATCAACTTTCTAACCATGCAAATATAAGCCTACAAATTCTAAGGACAACTCTAATATGGACCAGATGTAACTGGAGTTTGGTCAGTTGGTCTAAAATTCCGATGAGCAAGTGATCCTGAAAATCTTGCTCCCCCCAACGGCAACAATCCAACATAACATCAAGCCATCAACTCATCCAAAGTTAGTACATCCGATCCTTCGTTATAAATGAATTGCGATAATTTCTGTTACAAACTCTTCTAATGTAAAGTTTGACCATCAATATCTTTAATTTATAAGTAAAAGTTTTAATTCGAAATACTATAGCATCAAAGCTTGGCCATTAAAAAATTTGTTGCTATAAAAAAAGTGGTAGAAGTATTTCGTATTATATGGAGTACAAAATACTTTTTATGCTACTTTGTGTAGATTTTAGTTTATCTTGCTAGAACAAAATCTTAGAACATGCATCACTTTTTTTAATTTTTTTTATTTAATTTTTAAATTTGGACAGTGGAGCATTATGATATTACAGCATAAGAGGGTTGATTACTGATGTATTAGTACCAGTTCATAAGCTTACATATTCTAACACTTATGCTGTTGAACTTTTTTACCTGCTTCAAGCTTTCAACAAATGAAATTTCTGCATTGATTGAAGAATTATGAAGAAAAAACATTGGTGCCTGTGATATTTGTTTCAGTTGCAAAGCGAGACTAAAAGTATGTTTTGCATACAAGATATGTTACTGGTTTGATTTATGATTAACCTTTACTTGTCACAGTAATGCTTAATCACAGTGTAGATAGACAAAATAAAACATGTAGGAAAAATTATGCAATTGAGCTTATGTTTCTGTAGTTAGCTTCAAGCTAAGTGAAGTTTGATAAATTCAAAGATCGTGATGCAAATGAGATAATGTTACTGATGAATTACATGAATATATATACTTTGCATATTGCTTAGTTATTTAGCTGGGATAAGTTGATACTCGAGTACTCATCTACAAGTGTTACATCAGTAATCAGTACTACTCCCAGTAGACAAATTCTTAAGTAACAAATCAAAGTAAATTTTGCATTTAATTAAGCTTCTTTAAATAGACACATAATTAAGTTCAAATGTCAGTAAAATTTCTCTTCTGCATACAAAATTACAACGTGATTAGAACAGACACATAGGAAGAGAACTCTGGCCAAAACTCGCCAATATATACCTTTGGAGCATGGCATGTTACAGTTTTATGATAGTATGCTGAAATTATCATTTGAATGACTAACATACAAAATTTGTTCGGTTAGGTGAGTTGGTTATCACTCAGTAATACATGAAAGGTAAGCTGTAGAGTTAATTGGAATTTCTGCAACATAGTGTAAAAATCTTGGAATTGGAGGATTAACAACTTCCATGACTCCTTCCAAAATTCGTACGACATTATTCATGGATAGTCTGTCCTCCTCGTTTTCTTGTATACACCAGCCTGCAACTCTACAAGCTCTGATTAATTCTTCTAAGTCGACGTTTTCCTTTAGTTCACTGTCTAGCAAGCTTATAACATCTTCGTCATTCATCAATTTCTGCATGACTTGAATTGGGAAGTAATCATTTTCTTCTTTGATTCTCATAGACCAGTTTCTTCTGCCAGATATAATCTCAAAAAGCATCATTCCGTAGCTGTATACATCAGCCTTTGATGTAATGGGTGCACCTGAAATCCACTCGGGTGCAAGATAACCTCTTGTTCCCCGCATTGTTGTCAATACACGACTGAAGTCTCGACATAGAAGTTTAGCAAGGCCAAAATCAGCAATCTTAGGATTGAATTCACCATCTAGCAATATATTCTCTGGCTTAATGTCGCAGTGTATGATACATTCTCTGCACTCGCTATGTAAATAGGCTAATCCTCTAGCAATACCTAGTCCAATTTGATATCTTGTTTTCCATTGTAAATTTCCAGGGCTTTTGCAAAATATATGCTTATCAAGTGATCCATTAGGCATATACTCATAGACTAAAAACCTTTTTGAGCTCTCAACACAAAAAGCCCAAAGATGCACAAGATTGGAATGTTGAATTGTTCCCAAGGTGCTTACCTCTGCTCGGAATTGCTTCTCTCCCTGACATTGAACCTTAAGGTGCTTCACAGCTATGTTCGCTGATGAATTTGGCAAAGTTCCTTTGTAGACAGTCCCAAAACCTCCTTCACCCAACTTACATGAAAAGTTCTTTGTTGCACTGCGGATAGCACTGTACTTCATGATAAATAAAGAACCCTCCTCTGCCTGTAACGCGTGTACAGAGTTTTTTCTTCTGCTTTTCCAAATGAAAACCACTGCTGTGACTATTAGACTTAATCCACCTAGAGCTGCTCCTATGATTGATGAATTACTTTTCGGCTTAGCCTTTCTTGTCTTAGTTGTAGCAAGTCCGGCCTTGATCCTATTTGTTGTAGCAAGTCTGACATATACATCTGATCCTGGAGAATAATATAGGCCTAGGGGGCTATACCACATGTGGCAAGCGTTAATGTGATCATCATATCTTCCATATGCTTCACAGTTGCAATCTCGCACACAAGGTCTAATGCAACCGTCTTGGCCTCCTATAGGAAGACCAGTCTCCGAAGGAAGTGTTGAATTTTGAATCAGTAGAAAACCTTCTTTTGTGCCATCATAGCACTGGAAAGGACTAGTGTTTACACATTCAGCTCTAGAAAAGCATGTGCAATCTTGCGAGTTGTTCCGTTGGTGGTTGTAGACTGCAAATTGATCACAGTATTTGTCTGACAGCTTCCATTTTGATGCCATCCAGACATGGAAATCATCCAACCACACATATTGAATTAACAACCCAGTGGCTTTGTCGAGCATAAATCGTGTTAAAATGGAGGTGTTTGTCTGTGAATAAGTAAAATATGTCTCGTTCACATTTGACACGAGGGAGACGGAGGTGTGGTCAAACAGAACCATGTCTGCTTGACCATTATACCAGCCTAATTCCAACATACAAAAGATAGATTTTTCTTTAACCCTACAGGAGCCATTATTAAGACTAATAGAGTTGAATGTATTGTTATCCATCTGAAAAGAGAATATACCGGATTCGTAGACTTGTTGTGTGTTAGTAAGCTTATTGAATCCGACCTTGGCACCAGGTAACCACGTATCGGTAGGATGATCAAAACTCTGCCAGAGGATGATGTTGGGATCTGAAATACACTTAAGTACCAGATTACCGTTGTCCTCGAGGACTAATTTCGTGGAATTGTACTCTGAAGATGATCTGCTTGACCAAATTACTATGGATTGTCCCTCACCATTGGTGAGTGTTAAATTACCATCTAGAGATAGTGTAGGTGAGAATGATTTGATAGACAGGGGATATCTGATGTTTCCTGTCCACACAATATCTCGTGCAGGAAGGTTATTGTATCGGATTACAATGTAGCAGGCTTTGTACTGGCTGCTGTCGTAGGTAGTGCAGCCATACGATGATTCTGGTGTATAGAAGGCAAGTTCAAAGACTCCATTTGTAGACGTTATAATGGTCTGATCATTGGATATAGATTGACCCAAGTAAATGGTATCGGTTCCAAAAGAAAGAAAGAAAAAGAGATGCAAAGAATAAACATGCAACAAAAGCTTGGTAATGATTATTGTGCCCATCTTTTGTTCATTTGTTGTGATTTTTGTTTTTAATTTTTTGTTAGAACACAAGGATGGATTTAAGCACTAGCAAAGAGCAGAGAAGTTGGGATGTGAGTAAAGAAACTTGCTGTGCAACGTCAACTCTTTCGTTGACTAGGATCGAAGAAGTCAATAACGATCAATCTTTGCCAAAGAAGTCTTAATCCTTCTTATTTTTTGCAACTTTTCAACGAGGACTGCAATTACGCGCCTTAGGTACTTTGACTTCATCCTTCTTGTTGGAGATACATTGATACTCTGTAGTCCCTATTAATCTTAAAGATTGCACTAAGGCTCCGTTTGGTAGGGCGTAAAACATTTTCACTGAATAGTGTTTTCACATTTTACATTGTTTGGTTTGGTGTAAAACATTAAAATGTAAAACTTGAGGTCATTTTCCACACTATTGAAAACATTTCCCCCCCAATTTAGAAGGAATTCATTTTCTATCACAAGTGGAAAATCAAGTGGAGGGAAAATATTTTCCCGCACAATTGAATTTTCAGTTCAACCAAACAATGGAAAATGCTTAAAATGGAAAATCATTTTTCATTCAACCAAATAACGGAATTTTTTTTTGAAAATGAGTTTTCCATTGTAAAATGATTTTTATGGAAAACCATTTTACATTGAAAATGTTTTACACCTTACCAAACGGACCCTAAATCATTCACGCTTTTTTTGTCTCATCATTTCTCATCTATTTTCTGTAACATTATATGGTTCCCATAAAGCCATCACGATCTCTCTTTACTTTATTTCTTACCTTACGTGCTTAAATGTTCAAACACCCACATGCTCAATAAAAAGTGTAATTTTAATAGAAATAAGGCAATCGAAGGGAGAGAAAGAGTATATCATAAGCTCTCTGTCAGATAATATATATGAAACTCCTTTATTAGGGTGATTTCCAGATTAATATTTATTGGGTTACGATGAGTGTCCTAATCATATTAAGTAACTAAGAAGATATATAAAGATATCATAAAGATAATTTTATACAAAATATATCTTAAACCTAGGATGAGAATATTCTATGGATATTCTCTTTCACTCTCTAATTATCCTATCCTACTAAATGATTTTTATGTTATTTTCCATAAATATTTTACAAGGGATGCGAGGAAGTATTAATCAGTATGGAAAGTATGTGGTAGAGTATAGCTAAAATAGGAAGAATTTTCAAATTGGAGGACATTATTGTTTGGTTTCTGCAACATTAAGTTGAATATAATTTTGTCTTTGTATCAAGTTTCTCTCTAACATACATCCTTTTCATTTCAGCTACCTTGTAGCTTCTTTGCTTTTATTTTCAAGTCAATCTCTATTTCAGTCTTTGCAAATTTCAACGACTGCATTTATAGCAAGAAAAAACATACTACTATATTCAAATTTGGATACATTATTTATGGAAAAAGATGTTGCAGTAGAAAATTAATGGAGGAATTATACATACAGTATGTTTGTTCAAGTCATAAATCCACACTATTGAAATAGTGGCATTAGTCATATGTTAATTTGTGTAGCTTAACTTAATCCTACACGAATAAAATTTCACCTAAAACAGAATATCAGATTAATAGGGTTGATTATCGATATACTTGTCTAATTAATCACTATAAAAAATAAACTAGTACAGTACAGTAGTACTCTACTACTCGTACATCTTTATGATAACGTTTTTACTATGGCAGATAACTCAAACTGCAACTTTCACACAAATAAAAGAGAGGTCTGCATTTGAAAAAGGAATAATACAATTTCGATTCTTGTACATAATATTCATAAGCTATTACAGCATATCAGCAGTACGCTCAAGAAAACATCAGAAGGGAAATCTGGCCTAATTTTGCAAATTTGTACTTAGCAACATGATATGGCTATTATTTCAGGTAAACATAATTCTCTGCCATTTGATCACGAGTCGATTATCACTCAACAATGCATGTATGGTAAGCTGTAGAAACCTCCGGGATTTCTGTAACATGTTGCAGATATCTTGGAATTGGAGGATTAGCCACTTGTGTGACTCCTTCCAAAATTCGTACGACATTTACCATGGACAGCCTATCTTCCTCGTTTTCTTGGATACACCAGCCTGCAACTCTGCAAGTCCTGATTAATTCCTCTAAATTGACAGTTTCTTCTAGTATACTGTCTATCAAGCTTATAACATCTTCACCACTCATCAATCTCTGCATGACTTGAATTGGGAAGTAATCGTTTTCCCCATTGGTTCTTATAGACCAGTTTCTCCTGCCAGATATAATCTCAAAAAGCATCATTCCGTAGCTGTATACATCAGCCTTTGATGTAATTGGTGAACCTGAAATCCACTCGGGTGCAAGATAGCCTCTTGTTCCTCTCATAGTTGTCAGCACTCGACTGAAGTCTCTGCATAGAAGTTTTGCAAGGCCAAAATCAGCAATCTTGGGATTATATTCGTCATCTAGCAGTATATTCTCCGGCTTAATGTCACAGTGTATTATACATTCCCTGCACCCGCTGTGTAGATAGGCCAACCCTTTTGCAATCCCTAGTCCAATTTTGTATCTTGTTGTCCAATCCAAATTTCCGCGGCTGTCAAAAAATATATGCCTGTCAAGTGACCCATTAGGCATAAACTCATAGACTAGAAACCTCTTTGAGCCTTCAACACAAAAACCCCAAAGATGCACAAGATTGGAATGATGGATTGTTCCAAGGGTGCTTATTTCTGCTCTGAATTGTTTCTCTCCTTGGCCTTGGATCTTGAGATGCTTTACAGCTATATCACACGATGAATTTGGTAAGGTTCCTTTGTAGACAAAACCAAACCCTCCTTCACCCAACTTACTGGTAAAATTCTTTGTTGCACGGCGGAGAGCACTGTATTTCATGAGAACTAAAGAGCCCTCCTCTGGCTCTGATGCGCGTACAGAATATTTTCTTCTGCTTTTCCAAAGGAAGACTACTGCTGCGACTATTAGACTCAATCCACCAAGAGCTGCTCCTATGATTAATGAATTACTTCTAGGCTTAGCCTTTCTCGCCTTAGTTGTAGCAAGTTTTACATATACATTTGATCCTGGAGAGTGATCAAGAGCTAGCAAGGTATACCAATTATGACAATCTAAGTTACCGCCACCAACATAGGCTTCACAGTAGCAATTTCGCTTGCAATCTAATTTGCACATATCTTGACTACTACTGATTGTACTGAAATAACCGTCCTTTAAGTCCAAAGGTAGTGTTACATTGTGCAGCAGTAGAAAGCCATCTTTTTCGCCACCATGGCATTGAAAAGGACTTCTGTTTACACATTCAGATGTGTAGTTCAGCAAATTATCCATTTCATTGTTGTAGACTGCAAGTTGATCACAAAATGTGTCAGCCAACCTCCATTTGGATGGCTTCCAGAGTTGGTAATATTCTAACCACGTATATTGAGTTAATAACCCAGTGTCTTCGTCCATCTTAATTAGTGTTAAGATGGAGGAGTTTGTCACTGAATATGTGAAATACGTCTCATTCGAATTTGACACGAGGGAGATGGTGGTGTGATCAAACAGAAGCATGTCTGCTTGGTCATTATACCAGCCTAATTTCAACATACAAGAGAAAGAGGTTCCTTTGAGCCTACAAGAGCCATTTGTCAGACTAATAGAGTTGAATCTATTGTTATCCATCTGAAAAGAGAATTCACCGGATTCGTAGACTTGTTGTGTGTTAGTAAGCTTATTGAACCCGACCTTGGCACCAGGTAACCACGTATCGGTAGGATAATCAAAACTCTGCCAGAGGATGATGTTGTTATCTGAAATACACTTAAGTACCAGATTACCGTTGTCCTCGAGGACTAATTTCGTGGAATTGTACTCTGAAGATGACCTGCTTGACCAACTCACCATGAAATTTTCCTCGGCATAGCTGAATGTTAGGATACCATGAACAGATAGATTAAGTTGGGGCAGTTCGCTTTCAAGGATATATTCGATGTTCGCTGTCCACACAGTAGTATATTCAACAGGATATTGGTTGTACCATATACCAATAATATTGTAAGAGTATGAATAACCAAATGCAAAAACACCATTTCTAGAGGTTATTGCTTCGTCTTCGGAGATAGATTCGCCGGGATAAATGGTGTCTTTTCCTAAAGCAAAAACGACCAAGAAGTGCAAAATGTATACTTGTAACAAATTCTTTCTATTCACGATTGTGCCCATCTGTTGTTTCGGTTTTTTTTTTTTTATCTATTGTTTTTGGAAAAAGGGGAAGGTGGATTAACACTTCAGAAAATAGAGCAGGCAGGGGTGTGAGTGAAAAAACTTGAGCATCATCATCAAGTTAGAACTAAATTCATTCAGTGTACTTTGACTACAATAATTGAAGAGGAGATTTCTGTCATTTCATAAGTCAAGCAGAATTTTCTTCTGTCTTCCTTCTGATATCTTCTCACTTACTTGGTAGTTTCTCTGTTTTAATTTTGTTTTTAATCTATGGTTAGCATTGGCGGAGCTAGGCTAGGTCCCAAGCCCAAAAAAAGAGTTTAAATTAGTTAAATACTCCGTAGAATACAAAGCTCATAATTGTGTTCTAGTTTCCGGCAGTCTAGTTGTTGGAGCAATTGGCGGAGCTAGGATTTTCCACCTAGGGGGACGGACTAAAGGTCGTGTTTTATAAATGGACAAAATCTTTTAAACATACATAAATTGTACAGACTATGCTTAATACTTATAAATGAGTTTTACAACCCGAACCCAAAATTCTTAATTATACCGTCCAAAAAATTGAAAAAAATATCAAATTAATTACGACTTCACCTTCAAGTCTTCATTTTTTTAAAGCGATCAATAATTAATTTGAAAATTGTGAATCAATTATTTAGTCATATACAATTAAAATTATCAAATAATTCATAAATGTGATTTCTAATTAACAATAATCCTAACATATAAACCATTTCTCATTCCAATTTGGGCAATGTAGTGTTTTCAAACCCGTGACACTTTAATATATATTGAGATATATAATAAAATCAAACACCTTTGCCGTAATCCTTACTACAACCAATAATTTGGGGTTGTAATTTATGCAATTATCAAAAAAAAAAAAATTATGTAAATTACTAAGGTAATTTATAAGTTAAAACATTATGCCATTAAATAGTACTCCGTATTACTTCTAATTGAATTTGTGAATTAAAGAAACAAGCAAGGAAAGGGGAAAACTTTTTTAAAAAAATAAGAAGAAAATGCTAGGCAAAAGGGATCAAACCCTTGACCATAGAGAATTCCTATAAGGAATATAACAACTAAACAAACTCTTTCTTCATATTTCTTATGCTACCCATAATTCTCTTTAACTATTTTTTTTATTTTTTTTTTAACAAAAGTGGAGGGACAGCTGTCCCCCTTGTACCCACCTGGCTCCGGCAGTGACTTGGAGCTTGGAGCACTGTTCTTCTACCAAGATCATGAGTTCAATTCATCGTTGAAACATTGTTCACGGTTGCTATGCGGTGCATCAATGAGTCTTATTTTTTTCAAAAAATATTCATTAAATGTTGTTGATATTCAATAATTTTAATAAGTAATAATGTATCAAATTTTATATGAGAAAAAATTATACGAGTTTAAAGTTATTATTTGAAAAATAAGTTTATCAAAACAATTCTAGAGAAATTTCATACAATAGCTATAGAGTACAATCAAAAGGCTTGGGGAGAAGTAAAAGTAGTAAAAGCGTTTCTCTCTCCTCCCCCAAAGTCTCTGTTCTCTCTCCTCCAAAGAGAACTTTCTGCCGGAAACCTAGGGCTCGCCGAAGATCCAGCGCCGCAGTCGTTTCTCCGGCGAGGTTCCTCCATCCTCTCTTCTTGTAATCTGCGTGTGAGGGTCGCCGGTGAGTAGGCTCTGTCCTCCGTTTTTCGCCTCCTCTCTTCACCCTGCTCTGAGGTGGTTTCAATCTCAAAGACGCCGGAGCTCCGGTCGCCGCGGCCCCTCGTCCTCTTCCCCCCTCCTCTGTTTTCTTCTTCTCTTGGGTTCTGTCCCCTTTATTTTCTTTTCCCCTTTTTGGGTTGGTGGTTTACTCACACCGTTATCCCCTCTTTTCTTGGGAATTAATCCTTTGGAGGTGTTTGTGAGAGCCTTTTCTAGGTCTCGAAGTTTCTGAGGGGAATGTTTAGATCGTCCACCTCCGTCGCCGTTGCCCACCTTTGTGTGGAAGGTTTGTGTTTGTTCAAAGGGTCTCCCCGCCGGTGAAACAAGGCCTAAGGACTAGGCCTAACGCCGCCGTCATAAAGGTCATCGATAGTTTTGACTGTGACGGAAACGGTAAAATTAGGGTTAGGGTTTCGTGGGTCCTTGCGCTGGAGGGCTAGGTCTAACGCTGCCGTCATGAGTAGTTAGTGACGGAAACGGTGAAGTTAGGGCTAGGGTTTCGAGTCTCCTAGTGTAAGTGGTTTCGGGTTTTTCGATTTGGACGGTGCTTTCCTCTGGTTTGTTCCCTTTCTTAAATATGTTTGTTCTTAGTATTTATCAGAGTTTAATTGCCTTAGTTTGTGTCACGGTATGTTTTAGCCCCTTTTGGTTGTTTTCCGGGCTATTTAGTTGTCTTGGCTATAGATTTTGGATGGTTGTGTGCAGTGGGAGTTAAGATCCGGTGTTAAGGACTGTGGTATGGTTATTGTGGTAAGAGAGGTTAAAGGTGCGGTTGTTGGGGGTTTGAACAAGAAGTTGGCCTTGGCTAAGGTGAAGTGTGTACGTTGTTGGAGTGGTATCGGTTTGGTTTCTCTTCCCTCGGATGTAATGATTTTTTTAGTCATTACTCCTGATTCTTATTATCTGAAGCAGGCGCACAAATTTTGGTTTGGGGTTTCTCGAGCCTCAACATTGTCAAAGCTTTCTTGCCAACAAGGAAAGCTATTGATTGGAAGGTCACTAGTGCAAGTGACCCGTTTGATGCCCTTACTTGGTGATGAGTTGATCCCGCCAGGTAAGGATTTGCTAGCCATGGTCAAACAGTTTCGATCCCCTCCGTTGCTCTCTTCTTGGAATGTAGTATGTTTTTACTCCTTGGTTTGTAAGGAGTCCCTAATCTGCGACTTATCCGGCCAATTCAAATTTATTTTCGTCTTTAGTCTCCAAAGTTGTTGTAACGGCTTTAGTGTCAAAAGCCATATTTTAAGTTTAAGTTCTTGTTATGTAGATTGTAAACTCTGATTTTATGAATACATTTGCTATTGTCAAAAAAAAAAAAAAAAAAAAAGGCTTGGGGAGACTTGTTTTTTTTTTTCCCGAAGTCAACAAAGATCGAGTTTATTTACGTAGAATTTTCAAGGCATGTAAGCGCTTTTGTACTGGATGGATATCCAAGATTCCAAGTGGTAATGAAAAGTTAGTGAGAAAAACTTGAAAAGAGACATGTAGGGAAGATGTATTACACAGTTAATTCCTATTAGGGCTTGATTAGTTCACCTTATTTTTGCTTATCTGATCTGATCTGGTTTGATCTAATCTAATTATCTGATTTGACCAAAATTTGACCTTATATGTACGATAATCTATAAAAAAAGAAATATATCAAATGGGGTCTTGTTATATTTGTATATTGTATCAATGTGTATTTTATTAATATGTAATTTTTATAGTTTATTTCATTACGTAATTGAAGATATTTAGCGATAAAAAGCTGTACATAAAACGATAATCTGATCTGAACTTGTTTTTTCCTGATTTGATCTGATCTTATTTTTCTGAAATAAGTAAAAATAATTTGAACTAAACAAGGCCTTACTACGCAGTATTGATTATTATTGATTAATGAAGACTGTGTAGTAATGATCACTGGGATGTAATGTTGCTCCTTTACCTTAACAATTCAACAACATATTGTATACGGAGTAATACAATAGTATTTGATCTTTATTATGAGGAGTACTCCGTATAACTTAAGTTCACTTAATTTTTGCATTTATACAAGATATATACGTCTTTGCTTGCAAATTGCAATATTGACATAGATGCAGCTCATTTATTCAATAGGATAGTACGTACTTGCAAGAAAAGTTCTCAAATTATTGTTTTACTCCACTCATAAGTCATGAAGATCTTTGCCGATGTGTCACTCTCATCATCAAATGTTTTGTTTGACATTGGCAACCAGTATAGTACGAAGTATTTGCTTAGATTGACATTTTGGAGAATTTTTAACGGAGTAAATTTTTCATAAGAACCATTTTCTTAGAGCAATTCCATTGGGTGTTATTAAAAGCCACAATTAAACTATCTGCCTATTAAAATCATAAATAACAAGAAATGCATATATATGTTGTTTGGGTCCAATTTAGTCCAATTGGGCCTAGATATTAAATGATCCAATTAAAAGCTCAAGGTCAAGGTTCAACTCTCCAATTGTGCTAAAGTCAAAGGTCAGCCCACAAAGCAAGCCAATTGGGCTAAGGCCCAACCTCTCCATGTATGATGAGGTATAAAAGCCATCATATATTGATACATTTATAGGTTGATTCATATGTTCATTCATATGTTCATTCATATATTCTGATATATTCCATTAAAGCCTCAAGCAACAAACTCTCTTGCATAGTGTCCTCTTCTTACATATTGTACTGACTTTAGCATCGGAGGGGCCTTCCTCGGCAACACCCCCGAGGCTAGTTTACGTGTGTTTACTGTGCAGGAAACCTTCGGCTCAACATAACTTGGACCGAATCCAGCCTTCTCCGTTTCAGCGGACCTTCGGCAAGGTCCCATTGTTTTCACCCGAAACAATTTGGCGCCGTCTGTGGGGAAGACTTTCAAAAATCTTTAAGCCAAATTCCTAACCAAGATCATCTTGCAATTATCTTAGCAGCAATGGCTAAGAACCGCAAGAGCAAAAGCCTCCGTCAAGGAGCGGGCGAAAAGCCTAAAACCCCTACACCATCACCCTCGCCGGACCGGAACTCTCCCAAGGGTGCCGGCTCGGGGGGAGGATCATACAAGGAGGATTCCCTATCTCCCGTAATTCATGACTCTCATTATAGGCCGGGTCACTCTCGGTCTAGCAGGGGTGAGTCCGATCATAGGACACATTCAGTGTCCCAAAGCCAACCATCGGTTGCGCGCCCTCATTCCCACACTCGGCCGAGGACCCCTTTGACGGGGCCCAGCTCGGAAGAGGTGGCAAGAGCGCTGGCAGTACTCATGGAGGCGATGAGGGCACAAAATATGCCACCACCTCGTGATCGAACTCCTTCGCATACCCGGCATCAGCGGAGGAAGTTAGACCATGATGGTGGGAAGCTTCCTTCCTTCCGGGAACTGGAAGAGTGGGAGGAGGATTCCTGGAAAAATGAAAAACAGTGGAAAAAGAACCCTCAATTTTTAAAAGGATCCTCATCCTCAAGACCAGAAGCGCATAAGAGCAGCAGCTCAGCTTCTCGGCCAGAATCTACTCACCGAGAACCTGAGACTGTTCGCAGAAGTGTCCTTGACCGACTCGGCGGCAAGGAACCGAGCGTGCACAGTCGCCTCTCGTTCCCTGCAGCCGAGGCCCAGACTTCCCAGCCAGGGACGAAAACCACTCCTACCTCTCTAAGAGGGCGGAGCGCGGTCCCTTCGGCCAGGAACAAGGGCAAGGCCGTTATGCTACCCGCCAGTTCACCATTCGAGCAATGGATACTGGAAGAGCGCGTACCCACGGTTAAAATACCGTCGCACATCACATATGACGGGACCACGGATCCGAAGGATCA